ATATATATATATATATATATATATATATATATATATATATATATATACACATACATACATACATACACACACAATGGAACATTATTCAGCAATAAAAGATAATAAAATCATGGCATTTGCAGGTAAATGGATGGCATTGGAGAAGATAATGCTAAGTGAAGTTATCCAATCCCCCCAAAAACCAAATGCTGAATGTTTTCTTTGATATAAGGAGGCTGATATAAGGAGGATAGTAGAGGATAGGAAGGGCGGCAGAATACAACAGACACTAGTATGGCAGTATGTAAAAAAGTGGATGTGGAACCGATGTGAATCTGCAATATGTATACGGGATAAAAATGGGAGTTCATAATCTGCTTGAATCAAATGTATGAAATATGATATGTCAAGAGCTTTGTAATGTTTTGAACAACTAATAATAAAAAAATAAATAAATAACAAAAAAAGAGAACAAGTGTTGGTAAGAATAAGAAAAGGGATCCTTCTACACTGAAGCAGGATGTACTGCCCTTATGAAAAATACTATGGAGAATCCTTAAAAATTAAAAGTAGAACTACTTACTATAGGACCAGCAATCCTTTGTCTGGGCACACACCCAAAGGAAATAAAATCAGCAACTGGAAAAAAAAAAAAAAAAGGAGGCTGATTCATAGTGGGATAGGGAGAGGGAGCATGGAAGGAATAGATGAACTCTAGATAGGGCAAAGGGGTGGGAGGGGAAGGGAGGGGGCATGGGGTTATTAATGATGGTGGAATGTGATGATCATTATTATCCAAAATACAGGTATGAAGACACGAATTGGTATGAAAATACTTTGTATACAACCAGAGATATGAAAAATTGTGCTGTATATGTGTAATAAGAATTGTAATGCATTCTGATGTCACATTGAAAACACCTACAATATGACTCATATACCCCTTTTAGAATATACACCCAAAGGAAATTAAATTATCATTTAATAAAGACATCAGCAACCCCTTGTTCACTGCAGCATTATTTACAATAACTGATATGGTAACAATTTGCATGTCCATCAACAGATGAATGGATAATGAAAAAATGCCTCTCTCTCTCTCTCTCTCTCTGTGTGTGTGTGTGTGTGTGTGTGTGTGTGTGTGTGTAAGGCCAGACCTCAGTCTTATCTCAGTCATATGGGTTTAATAGGCATTCCAGAAAATTGAGAGGTAAAAAGTGACCCGTCTTCAAGTCTATATACTTAAGATAATATACCTGGAGATAGGAAGTTGAGAAGTCAGCTCAGCCTTCTAAGACTATGTGATCAGAAGAGATACCAAGAAGCCAAAGACAGATAATGGAAGGTCACTAAAACTCACTGAGAACAGAAAATACTCTGTTCTGTTGTGAAAATCATATTAAGGACTCGCTCAGATGATAAGGGGCATATGCCAGGTGGTGAGGGACAAGCCCACGCATAGAGAAGCCACTAAAGTAACCTACAGTTCACTTTATTTTATTAGCATAGAACAATCACAACCAAAGGCAGAGATTTAAGTTGGTAATGAAACATTCATTGTATGGAAAGGCATGATGAAGGAGAGCACAGACACAAATAAAAATTCTATTTTTTATGCAATGATATCAGGAGACTAGGTTGCTGCATAAAACACAAATGCCATAAAAGCTATACACCTTTGTCTTTTGCTTGAGGTAGCCTAGGATTTCTGTACCCCACATACTCTCTCCCTGTGCTCAAGTGTAAGAATAGTCTTGTCCCTGTTGCACTGGTGCATCTGCCTGATTCTTCTAATACTCAACACAAGAAAGCACAGAATTTGTAACACATAGAGCTAAAAATGTAGCTCAGTGGTAAAGCCCTTGAGGAGCATGCATAAAGCCTGTATCCCCAACATCTAAAAAAATAAG